AGCACATTGTAACTGGGGAGTCTACTTGCTCAATGCTGCCCTAGTCTCCCAAAATGGAGTACAGGCTGTGGAGTGCAAAGGGAAGTGCATGTCCCACTTTCAGATGTGTTCAGCAACCTGTGATGCACTGGAGCAGAAGGAATACTTGATTAGTTAACCAGACTTCTAGGTTACCAACTGCTACCTTGCAAACTGATCCTCAGAACATGGCAGTGCCTTTGAAGGCATGTTCTGTTTCTTTATTTTAGTGGGTTGTGCTGCTGCCCCGGACAGTAGCACCTGACCACAGATTAACAACCATTTGTCTACCTGTACTAGTCTTGATTTCTTTCTGCTCCTCGCACTTCAATGAAAACTAGATCTTTATTTTGTAAGCATCAATTTAAATGTGCTTTAGAAATCTTCATCCTCTTTCTCTAGCATTACTATTAGCGTCAATGGAAATGACCAGTTTTACAAACAAAGGGTAAGGATTTCTGGATCAGAGGAAATGAATTATTCCAAAATAAAATATCCTGTTACATGCAAATTGTTCTTGCAACAAGCAAAGAAAGGGAGGAAGGGGAAATAGACATGATTGCTTTTAAAGAGTATGATTTTAAAGGTGTTTGACATGGGAACGACAGCTCTTTAAAGCTCTATCCCTGTTTTTATTGATTTACTGTACAACAGTTTTATTGATTAACATAAGATCACTTGTGTTTTACCTCCAGATGAGCCTGCTTCTCTGACCTTCCTGGAACTCTAAGCAATGTGGCTGTTATCATTCTTCTCTTTAATTTTAAAAAGGTAGACAAGGTTTTCAATCTTATTTGACAGTCTATTTTTGCTTAAACATGGTTTTACCAGAACCAGTTATAACACAGTTGGGACAGACGGTATAGTTGAGCCAAATTGTTTGAATTGATTTAAAGATTTGTTCTAACCTAGGCCTGGACTAGCATTTAAAAGAAAACAGTAATCAGTTTGGCTTGGTCAGTGTAAGTTTGTCAAACCATGCTATAATCTAGGTTAGCCTTTTAGCAGGGTTAAAACCACACGTAAGCACTGTAGACTGAGCCCAGTTGCTTCTTAACCTTCAAGCTGTTTTAACAAGTATTTGGGCACAAGTGCTTTGACACAACAGTGCTGAGCACAGTGGTTAGGGAAGGAAATAAATAGTGTGACTGAATTCCCTTGAGTTCAGTAAAGCAGGATAAAAAATAACTCCTCAAAGAACGGACTTCATGCTCCATTTCACTGGCTTTCCTAGGGATGAAGGCACCAAAGTCATTTAGATGATGCTGAAAATTATACCATACATCCCTTATAATGGTTTAAATGCCAGACTGCATGGTACTCAAAGACTATATTCCTACTAATTGCAACCACATTTAGATAAAAGTACATTTAAATATCCCACTTACATTCAAATGGGCAGGGTAAAAGGAGAGTTACTAAGCAGTATTCTATAATGCAAACAATGCAAATCCATATCTGTGTCAAAGCTGCATCTTTCCAATATGTGACCAGTGTTTTAAAGATGACAGTTTTGCATCCCTCCAATCCTAGCGATAGAATTCCAGATCTAGAGCTGCACCTCTGCAAAGTCAGGTAAGGAGCCAGAGTTAGAAAAACCCAACACAATAGTAATTTGTTTATTAAACAAAAGAATATTCTGCAAGTACAGATTACAAGAGAGGTTAAAACAAAAATGCAGGAAAAGAAATGAATTAGGTTAATTAAGAAACACTGAGCCAACACAATGGAAAGTATGCCCTTGTAGCCAAGAAGGCTAATGGCATATTAGGTTGCATTAAGAGGAGCATTGCCAGCAGATCCAGAGATGTCATTATTCCCCTTTATTTGGCTCTGGTGAGGCCACATCTGGAGTATTGTGTCCAGTTCTGGGCCCCCCGCTACAAAAAGGATGTGGGCGCATTGGAGAGGGTCCAGCGGAGAGCAACCAAAATGATTAGGGGGCTGGAGCGTATGACTTATGAGGAGAGGCTGAGGGACTTGGGTCTGTTTAGTCTGCAGAAGTGAAGAGTGAGGGGGGATTTGATAGCAGCCTTCAACTTCCTGAAGGGAGGTTCCAAAGAAGATGGAGAGAAGCTGTTCTCAGTAGTGACAGATGGCAGAACAAGGAGCTATGGGCTCAAATTGTGGTGGGAAAGGTCCAGGTTGGATATTAGGAAAAACTATTTCACTAGGAGGGTGGTGAAGCACTGGAATGGGTTACCTAGGGAAGTAGTGGAGTCTCCATCCCTAGAGGTATTTAAGTCTCGGCTTGACAAAGCCCTGGCTGGGCTGATTTAGTTGGGATTGGTACTGCCTAGAGCAGGGGGCTGGACTTGATGACCTTCTGAGGTCTCTTCCATCTGTTTGGTTCTATGATTCTAAAGTGATTAGGCATTCATTTAACAGTATCATCTGCTCCCACACTCCCTACAAGGGGACTGCAGACATCAGCTATCATGTAAGCCTCCAGGAAATATAAAGGATGTGATAGATGACATGGCTCCAACCAAGCCCCAGAGCAGATAAAGGATTTCACAGAATGCATCACTATCAAAGATTGTGGCAATGGGAGAAGCTTTAGGCATGTGCAAATTACCAGCCCTGGTAGATAGGAGAGTTTCTGGACAACCTGTCCTCACTGGCAATGTTACCTTCAGACAGCATGCTTACGGCCTCATCCGTCTGCTGGCTGCTGGCTAGTGTTATCTTCTTTGAGTCATGGCTGCTGTTTTGGTAGTTCACAGATGATCCAACAGGAGAGGGGTAGCCATTGTCAGCAACAGCTGATGTGGACATTGATTCCCATGGTATTTCTCGCTCTTGCCATTTCAGGTTCACTTTCCACCCAGTCCAGCCATAGAAAGCGAGTGTGAAGAGAAAACCTTGCATTGGATTCAGTACTCCCTGGAAGAGAGAAGAAAGGAGAATGGTGATGGGAAGTAAAATCAACAGAGTGATGAATTTCAAGTCCCGTGAATTAACCATTCTAGTGCATAAAGGCTACATCAGCACTGCAATAAAAGATTCATGGCACCAAGCCTCAAAGCCGGGATCAGCTCACTTTGGTTCACTGGGCTGCAAGCTCTACAATTGCAGTATAGACACGAGGGACTAGGCCGGAACCTGGGCTCTGAGCCCAAATGTCTACACAGCCCAAACACCGCAAGCCAAAGTCAGCTGGCCTGGCCGTGCCATGGTCTTTGATTGCAGTGTAGATATACAGATTTTCCTCATAGTGAACAATTGCTGTATCTGGGAGATGTTGTAAAACCCACCCTTTGGCATCCAGATGAAAGTACATGTTATGTTTCTTCTAGCCACAAACAAATGAAGGGAAGATACCAAAGGCCTTGTTATGGTACACAATAAGACTCCGTCAACACTGCATCATTTCTGTGGAAGAGGCAATGCAAATGAAGTGCTCATTAACATTTCTCATGCTCTCATTTGCATATTCCGTTCCGATCCTTTTTGCGGAAGAGGCTTTTGCGGAAAAAAAATGCAGTGTAGACGGTGCCATTTTGCGCAAAAAAAACACTTTTTGTACAAGAACCCTCATTTCTCAAAAAATCTTGTATCTGAGGAATAAGGGTTCTTGCGCAAAAGGGTTTTTTTGCGCAAAATGGCACCGTCGACACTGCGTTTTTTCTGCAAAAGCCTCTTCCTCAAAAAAGGATCAGAAGAGAATATGCAACTGAGTGTGTGAAAAATGCTAATGAGCGTTTCATTTGCATTGCCTCTTCCACAAAAATGATGGGGTGTAGACAAAGCCTAACACTAAGAATACAAGGGGCCATATGCTTGCCTGGTCTCACTTGAGCTACTCCATGCAGTTGTATCTGGGAAAATATGACCCTCACAGTACTTTAACAGTCTCCAATGGGTCTTAAGAAGTTTATTTTACATGCTCGATTATAAGACTTCAATGAAAGCAGAGCAGCCACTCACTGATAACCAAGTTCTGAACAGTGACCAATCAGTTTGTAACTGCTGCTGATTTATGAATCAGTCCATCATGGTTGGATTAAAAAACTTGGCATCTGAGACATTCTCTCAACAATCACTCCTGTCTCCACTTCCTTGGATAATTGGCAAGTCAACACTTTGAATGTTTCTATTTTTCTCATGGAAAAATCAGCATTTTATTTTCATAGCCAGCCTATAAACAGTTCAATCCTAGACTTCTCTCATCCTGCAGGTCAGCAAGAGCTGAGAGCTGTGTCACATGAGTGTATTCAGCCCCTAGGAGAGAAGGGGCACCATGTGAGCTGCATCACTTAATGCTTTAATACAGGATGAAACCTAAAAAATGAGAGAGCCTAATTGCTTGTCAGAAGGCAGGAGAGTGTCCTGGGAGTGGGTAGAGGTTAAAAGGATGTAGGATAAAATCTGGAAGGAGAGAATTAGGGTATGTCTACACTAGCCCCCTAGTTCGAACTAGGGAGGCTAATGTAGGCATTCGAAGTTGCAAATGAAGCCCGGGATTTAAATATCCTGGGCTTCATTTGCATTTTCCCGGGCGCTGCCATTTTTCAATGTCCCTTAGTCCGAACTCCGTGCCCACAGCTACACATGGCATGGAGTAGGTAGTTCGAATTAGGATCTCTAATTCAAACTACCGTTACTCCTCGTGGAGATGTCAGAATATAGTGTGTGCTCCAGGAGTGAAGGAATGTTCCATGCACAGGAGGAATCTTTCATACTAAATATACAGTGACCATATTTTCTGAACCAAAAATGGGTACATATTAGCCACACCCATTAGCCATACCCCTGACACTTGCAAGTCACCCCCTGACACCCAGAAGTAGTCCTTCGTACTCAAGATGGACACATGCCCAGGAGTGAAGCGTGTCATGTGACTTCTCTAAGATCTCCTCCCACTGTCCTCTACCAATAGGGATGGGTTTGAGCCTTATAGGAGCCCCCATGCAACTATACTGCAATTGCATTAACCAAGACCTCAGACCTAAGCTCCCATGACACTGATCAGCTGTTTGTCGGCTCCGTGCGGCAGTCATTTACATCATTTCCCTTTGCCAATCAGCCTACTCTACATGGAGCCATCGACGGAGCCATATAGTTTAGACACACCCTGAAAGACCAATATATTTTTTCTCAAGTAGCTATTTTCTGTATAGATCAGTGGTGGATAATAACTGGCTTATAGGCCAGACATGGTTCACCAGGGTTAGCCCCTGGTGGGTTGCTAGTGCTTTATTGACCTGTGCCTCCACAGGCATGGCTGCTTGAAGTTCCTGTTGGCCACAGATCACCATTCCTATCCCATGGATGCTGTGGGATGGGGCACAGTCTGACACCTCTTCCTGCAGCTCCTATTGACCAGGAACAGCCATTCATAGCCCACAGGAGCTACAAGGGGCTGTATCTGTGGAGGAGCAGGTAATAAAATGACAGTGGCCCACCAACAACTAACCCTGATGAGCCGCTACTAGCTTATTGCCCACCCCGGTACGTACAGATGTTTTCTACATAGCAGCTTTAAAGAGCAAAGAAAATAACCTTAGTTACAAATATAGGCTGGGATTGTTAGTAGGCACCCCAGTTGTTAGCCTGCGTTCAGGAATCACGGATAGAAACTGCAATCTGTTCATGGTAGTGGGTGAACATAGGACTGGGGTAGGCAAGCCCCCAGCCCTTCCCCTTCTGCCCAAGGCCCTAATCCCCTCCATGGAACCCAAGCTCCCCACACAACAGAGGAAAACCTTCAGCTCCCTCCTTCCCCCCAGGGGAGCTTCCTCAGTTCCAAAGCATCACAGGAAGGGTGGGCAGTGCATGACCCGAGCTTCCCAGACCCCAGAGCACATGGAGGGTGCAATGCCCCAGTGGTTGAAGCCTGGGGGCAGCACGACTCTGCCTACTGCTTCAGCATAGCTCCCAGTGGGGGCCCTGCTGCAGCAGTAGGTATTCTGGGGCAGAGTGTGGGCAGGACTATTCCTGACTGTTTGGGAAGGCATTGCCTTCCCCTGCCTATTATACCCGCGGCCCATGAATCTGTTGTTCATGAAGACACTATAGATCAGGACCACTCAACATGCCTCATGCGGCCCACAGCCTGTTTGTTTGGGATTACGCAGGGCTAAACACGGGGGCTGCGGGTGGGATCCTTTGAACATGTGCTCCACTGGGAACATGCTCCACAGCGGTGAGACATCTCCCAGGCGGGGTGAGCATTGAAAGATGCAAGTGGATGGGCTGACTGGCACAGAGCTGGTACAGGGTGTCGGCATTTCTAGCCCCTAGAGAGGAGGTGCTGGGAGTGCCGAGGCACTGTGGGAAGTGCTTTTTATTCATGCCCATCAGTGTGAAACAAGCTATTTTCATATATATTTGCATGAATATTCAACCACACTTAAGTTGCGGCCCTCGGCATGTGCTATGAGTATCATTGTGGCCTCTGGGGCTTCCAAACTTGAGTAGCCCTGCTATAGATGATCATAAGGGTCCTTTGTGGTATTAAAAAATGAATGTATCAGCTTGACTTCAGTAGGGATGCACAGAGGAGATCAGTCAGAGCAAAACTGATCCCTTAGTTCTTTTTGCAGAGTTTCATATGAAGAGTAGTTCCTGTGACTTTGAAAATATTCTCCTATTTTCGGTAGGGGCGGGGGATAATATTTGGAAAGAAGTAAACATTCATTACATTGGTGCTGCTGCCTGTCCTTCTAAAACTACTCCCAAGACTAATAAAAATCATGGTTGACCTACCATTATAATCCATGTGATCAATGCAGCATTTCTAACACTTTTCAGGGTGCTTCCATTGATATCCGGCTGCATTTCAAGGTAGAACAAAAGGCTCTCATTGATGATGTTTGCTGACCAGCTGTTGCAGCAAGGAAGAGAAGGAAAAGAAAAAGACACATAGTGATTTCTTTTCCAAAGCATGATTGTGGTTGTTGTTAGCATGGAGGGGAAGAAGTCTGCTTTCAGCCAGCAATATGAAGGTGCAGCAGGTCTGGGAGAATATGATCAGGAAACAAAATCCCCTTTCCCAACCTGGCCTGAGACAAAAAGAAAAGTAGACATAGCCGAACGGAATAAATTCCTAGCATTCCATCCTGCTGCAGGCTGATAAAATGCAGAATTAAATCCAGTTGATTAGAAAATGCAATAGTAGAATGTACTACCATCTATAATGGGGAATGGCATCATCAGCAGTACCTTTTTAGATTTGCAGCCTGTGACATGGTGTACCAAGCATATGCTGCCTCTTGTAGGAGGCCTCACAACCCTGGCAAACCCTGGAAAAGATGGCCAGAAGGGAAAGGCAGTGAGTTCAGAAATTTAGGGGTTGACTAGTGAGGTCTCCCTTGGTCAGCTGCAGGCAGAACCAGAGAGAGTTGATCTTCTGACACCTAGAAGGACCAGAAGCAGGGCCAATCAGGGCCTAGCAGGCCAGATAAAAAAGCAGTGGCTGTATCTACTAGAGACCAATTCTGTGAAGCCAGGAAATGGAAAGAGGACTTGTCCTGCCCTAACTCAAGTAACCTGTCCCAGTCAGAGGCCCAGTCTTGACAATGTTGGGTCTCTAGGAAGGGTTAGTGTTTATATTGTGAGCTTTAATGCCCAGAGGGCTATTTTGAGTTAAGATTTGTGTTCTGTTAATCTTGAAAGGGGACTGGACTGAGACCTGACGTGACCAAAGGAGCTGTCCTCTGGGCCTGGAGGCAGCTGACTGTTGCAGAACTGGGGCTATGTTTAGACCGCAGCCTTCTTTCGGAGGCTTTTCTGGAAGAGATCTTCCAAAAAAACTTCTTCCAAAAGAGCATGTCCACACCGTCAAAAGATAGCGTGTGGACACTGTCTCGCATTTAAGCTATGATTACTGTGGGTGGAGTGGCCACCAGGGCACTTGTGCTTTTTCCTCTTTCCTCTTCCTTTGAAAGAACTCCCTCTTCCCCGTCCACACACCTTTTTCCAAAAGAGCCTTTCAGAAAAAGACTTCTTCCTCATAGAAAGAGTATTACTGCTGTTGGAAAAATCCCTCTGTCCTTTCAGGTATTTTTCCAAAAGAACATGATTGCAGTGTGGTCGTAATTGAAGTTTTTTCAGAAAAATGGCTGTTTTTCCGAAAAAACTCTGAATTGTAGACATAGCCTGGGACAACAAGCGGTTCTTAGAGATAAAGAGTCCCTGTAACACTATGCGAAAAATGGCTGTTTTTCCGAAAAAACACACACACAATATATATATAGCATTGCTACCTTGTTGCACTTTTTTCCCTAAACAACTACAAATTTCAGAGGTAAATTCAAATGGATATTAAGAGCACCATCAACAAAGGATTGTATATGACTCTTAAATTGCCATACCATACCAATAGTTCTTACCAATAAGGACAGCTCATGGTCAGATAGCAAATATCAAGCTAAATGAATCAATAGTTCTCAGTACCAAAGAGAGGGTATGTCATATAGCCCAGGTTTTAGCCCTAGTGAACAGATTTTAATGAAGTTTCTTTGTGCTTTTCCTGCATGTGCAAACAAGTCAGGCTGATTTCCTAAGTCAAGCCTTTGTTTACAATACAAGGATTTAGCCATTTTCTTCTTAAAGTTAAGCTCCCATTCTAAGTAAAAACTTCATGTTTTTCTCCCTCCACCTTGCTCCCTCTCACACTTCTTCCCTGCTTCATTCTTCCCAATCTGTTCACTTTAACAAGCTTCTCCCATGCATGACCTACAGCAAGTCACATCCCCTCTTTGACATTGTTTCCTTTCCTATTCTCTTTCTGTCTTGTTTATACAGCACATTTTTCATGGCAAGGATCATCTGTTGCTATGTGTTTGTATGGCGCCTTGCACAAAAGACCCCCAATTTCACCTCAAATGTGCTTATATAATACAATTTGCAAATAATAATTCCTTCCTTCAAAATAATTTCTATTTGTTGAGCATTTTTACTTTGCAGTCAACACCCATCACTCCCAGTAACAATTTTTCCTCTAATCTTTTTCAGCCACGTGCAAATATTTTAATCTATGTGCGGAATAAATGTTATGTGCACAGGGCATGTGAGAATGTGCACCAACAGTAGAAAGAAAAACCCCTGCGGTGGGCACTCTTAATCAGGTAGGTGGTATCTGACTCTCTCCTGAGTGGATGCACAAGCCCATAGCTTATAGGGAACAGCAGTGCTCCACGATCTTTTACACTAGCTGCAGCACGCGCTATAAGGAAGCTGCCACTTCAGAAAGACAAAACAGTAACCCAGAGAAAACTGTATAGGATACCATATTGGAGAGAGGAATAAGTGGTCTGAAATTCCGCAACTAGGCCACATTGAGACTACTCTTTAGGGTTGCCTAAAGAGTAGATGGTTTAAAAAAAAATACCGGGCACACTTGACATTACATCACAATCTACATTACATCTTATTTAGAAATTACCGGACATTTATATTTTCTCAATTTGTTTCCCAAACAGAAAGCTCAAATACTGGACTGTCCGGTTCAAAACCGGACACCTGGCAACCTTACTACTCTTGTGGAGAGTGACCATAGCAATCCTTGTATTTTTTCAGGCATTACTCTAGATGGCTGCCCATCCAGCCTGTGCCTACCCATCTTTTTACCATTTTTCTTTGTGGGTTTGGATTTCATGTTGCTTAAACTCTTTCTCCCCCAGCCATATGTTCCAGAGCTTGTGTCACAGCTGCAAGGGGTAGCTTACTGCTTCAGCTACCAAGTAAAATAAGAACTTTTTTTCCCCAGATAATTCCTCCCCTTGAAGCTGTCAGGTTGGCAAACAAAAAGAGCAAGCCAACCACTGCCACTCACACTCCACCCCGTCCTCATTTGAGAAGCATACTTTTTTAAATTGCCTCTTACCATAAAATGAACACCAGCATAATTTTGAAAAAGCGGATCTTAATCTGTGTCCCCAGGCGTCTTTCATTCTCCGTGTAGATTCCTTGTCTTCCTTTGAAAAAGGAGGCAACTGGAAAGTACAGAACAGTATAATGAGTACGTGGCTATGATTTTTATGAACTGGGATCTAGAGGGGGGAGAAGGGAGAAGGAGAAGCTGTAGCTCAGGCTACTGCTATAAGGTGAGTTGATTTTAACCACCAAGGAGAAATTGGTAACAGAAGGTGGAAGGCAATTTGGGTCAATAAAAACAAGTTCTTTAAAAACATTATGAGAAATAGAAAGATGAAAGAAAGTGTAGGTCCTCTAGTTGGTGGGGAAAGAGCATTAATAACTGACTACGGGAAGAAGGCTGAGGTGCTTACAAAACAACAAATTGGACTAGGAAAAGAACAAGTTAAAGAATATTTAGATAAATTAAATACATTCAGATTGGTAGGTCCCCATCAAAATCATCCTGGGGTATTTAAAGAACTAGCTGAAGAGATCTCAGAAATGTTAGCAATTATCTTGGAGAACTCCTGGAGAACAGACAAGGTCCCAGAAGACTGGAGAAAGGCAAACACAGCACCCGCCTCTAAAAGGAAGAACAAAGAGGACATAGGAAACTTATAGACTAATCAGCTCTGACATAGAAGCTTACAAGTGAGGTTGTGGAATCCCCATCAAAGGAGGATTTTTTTTAAAAAAGTTGGGCAAATATCTGTCAAGGATGGTCTAGCTTTACATGGTCCTGCCTTGATGCAGGGGCCTGGGCTTGATGGCTTCAAGGTCTCTTTCAGCCTTATATTTCTATGATTTTATGCAGGATAGTTTAGAAGATGGGGGGAGCTTCATAATTGTTAAATGGATTAAGGAGATGATTTAAATGAAACAATGTCATCCAAACAGAGGTGACTCATGGTAGCACTTGAGAGGTGCACTGCCTCCCATTTGCCTGCCAAAATTTTAATTGCTAAATGGGATATCCCCTCATTCTCCCTCCTTATCCTCCTGGTGGCACCCCCTACGTCTACAGGCACTGTCGCCTACACATCCAAAACGGGGTGGTTGTATCAGAGAACTTTTCACTAACTTTCTATCAATCCCATCTAAAATGGAAAGTACCAGGAGGGGGTCAGAACAGTTTTATCTTTTAAAAATGTAAAATGAAACAAGTGTATTGGTAGTGTGTGTAAATATGCAATTGTTATGCCTTTCTTTTCTGAATTCTGCGTCTTCAAGTCATCAGGCCTCACTCTGCAGGGATGGGCAGCAGGGCTGTGTGAAATACAGACATTCATAAGGGATGCAGGCACACTTTATGCTCTCTCATGCAAACATTAGTATTGCTTTAGCTTGTTGCTTTCAATTAATGTAAAATAAGGAGACTGAAAGTATATGACTACTCTAGTCATCAATATTGGCTCACTTTACAGCCAGGAAGCCCAAGGTGTTACCTGAAGCAACCCTTATTCACTGAAAAGAAGATAAAGAAGTGTAGCCTATCTATTCAGACATCTGAATGCCTTTCTTATTGGCTGACGATATCATGCCACATTGTCTTAAACAACATGTAGCTGCCCCTGAATACCTAGGTAGCAGCAGTTGCCAAGTAAATCACCCATGCTTGGAAAGGAGTTTGACCCTTTTATTTTCTTATTATCAGAGAACACTTTAAATCTGTGCTCTGCTCTGACAACCAACAGATTTCTATGTAACATTTAAAGAGTTTTTGACTTTATAAAGCTATACATCATTTAAGCTTTGGCTGTCAGAGAAACAGAGTGAAAGAGAGAGAGAGAGAATACTTTTCTCCTTATATGGTATCAGGGTAGCAAGGACCTAATAAACTGGGAGTCCTCCCCTCCTTGTCAATATGGAGCATGTTCTTGGTGAGGGCTCCGAAACTCACATTCTACCTTGGTTCTCCAGAACCCTGGCATGATGGATATGGCAGAACAGTCCTTTTGTTCTTTGTTTACAGTATCTGGCACAATGAGAGTTCTACACAATATAAGCTATGCCCTTTTCTTAGAAGTGGGAATTACAGAATGAAGGGTGAAAGGGAAGATAGGACAGACATTGCATTTGGAATGGGATTGAGGGTTTTTTCAGGAGTATTTTAATATGTGTATATTTTAATTAAAACTTGTCAATGTATATTATGTGATGCACTTAGCATTGGGTGGGTATGATATTAAATACAAAATCTGGAATTGTTTGGCTCCAAGGCTTTATTTCTGGTTCTTCTCGCTCATACATTGAAAAGTAAGTTAGACGTGGTCGTCAAGCCCTTGACAAAGCTGTATACAAGCCCAGTTTCAGGCCTCTGTTCCTAGAATGTCATGAGCAACCAATTCCAGTAATATCTGAGCAAATATAAAACAAATACCAGTCTCCATGTGCAATTAATGGGAAGGCTGCAGAGAATAGTCTTCACTCAGTGGCTAGCTACAGCTGCACCAGTTCAAGCCTTTGGTAGAGACAATTTAGATTGCTATAACTACCAGGAGAGCTTTGCTAAATTTCAGGGAGTTTCAATGCAATTTTGTCCATTTACAATAGTGGTTTGTACCTGCACAGCTAAGTTGATGGTATCACTGGCCACCAATGTCTGTATCTGGAACACATCCATCATGGAGACCACGTCTTACTCTTGGTACCTAGCTGTTTTGCTAAAAAATCTTGGTGCGTTTTTTCCCTCTGATTAGTTGCAACCTTACATTACTTTGTTCATAGGGCCTCTCCCATGGAACACAATATGTAGACATGTTTTTACATTACTATTATTTTTATATCACATATAGTAATTAAACATTGACACTTAGGAACTTACCTGCTGCTACTGTCATTCTAAAGAGGATTGGATTGGCCACCAAAACTAGCAGAAGTGGAGCATAGGTCGTGATGTAATGAGGAATTGCATGCAGCAGCCCATTTTCACAACTGAGAAGACACCATTAAAAACTCAATTCTTCTTCATGCCTTGCAGTGGTGGCTATTCTACTTACATCATCTTTAGCTAAAAACACGGAACGAAATAAACAGATCCAAAAAGATTCTGACGCATTGACTCTGGTCAGCTCAAGTAAATCACAGAGGCAGACTATTGAAATACCGTCTAGTTTCTTTGTACTTTGCTCCCTTTCAGCTACTTGGAGGAAAAAATTAGGCTAAGAGGAGACAAGGGTATATAACTTCTTTGGAAATATCTCCCTCTCTTGGAGCTTGTGGAAGTCTTAATGCCCCTACTCTCCACAGCCATGTCAAGGATGGATTATGGGGCAAGTAAAGCACCTGTTTTTTTTGTCATGTTTCCCTCTGGTTCTGTCAAATACTCAAGCAGATAACTGCAGGGTCATATTGGGTATGTGTACACTAAAGCTGGGAGATGTGGTTTTTATCAGCACTGTGGCCAAATGTGTGCTAGCTCTACTTGAGAGAGCATGCTAAATATAGCAGTGTGGCTATGCACCCATACTGCAAGTTCTATACTGCTATTTTTAGCATGCTACCCCATGTCTGTCTACCTATGCTGGGAATTATGCCTCCCAGCAGAAGTGTAGATATGCCCAATGTCTCTGAGTTATGTGTATCAATTGTTTCATTTGGTACTTACCAAAGTTAAATTATTCAGACCATACACAACAAGTATAAGAACATATTTGGGACTTCAGTGGTTGAGACCCACAGTATGAGTGGGTGGAGCTGGTGCAAAAGAGATTGAAGGACAAGTGGGATTTGAGGAGGAATTTATAAGAGGGAGAGGATCACACAAGCAAAGGGAGGTTCTTTCAGGCATAGGTGATAGCCTGATACTGAAGTGGAGAGTCATGAGTAGCAAAAGAGTAGGATGGACAGAGCACAGGTCATAAGAGAAGTAGGATAAAACATTTTTAAGGCCACATCTACTACACTACCACTTATGTATGCAAAACTTATATCATTCAAGGTTGTGGGAAAACACCCTACCCCACAACAAGTTTCCCTGCCATAAGTAGTAGTGGGCCCACACCAATGTTGGCAGGAAAGCTTCTCCGTCCAACATACCTAACACCGCTCATTGGAGGCAGTTTAATTATGTTGATGGGAGAGCTCTTTCCCATTGGTATAGAGTAGCTACATGAGAGATCTTACCGTGATGCAGCTGCATCAGTACAGTTGTGCCACTGTAAGATCTCTAGTGCAGTAGACGTAGCCTAATTCACTCAAGGCCACATTTGCTCTGATGTCCCTTATGGTAAATTGGGAGTAACTTCACTGACTCCAGTATTTGGTACTTGTACTCTTGTAATTGGGGCAGAAACTTGACCCTCCATCTCCAAAACTGACAAAGACATTCAAGTAATTACAGACATAGATTTTTTTAAATACCTTGCTTACCTAGCAACAGAAGGGTAATAAAGCATGGCAATTCCCTCTACACACAGCAGGATTGCCAGGCCCCAGGTCATCATGTGGTACAGCACTATTGTACTGGAAGCACATGGAGTGGAAAAGAAGCTGTTAATGTCACTCATCGTGTACATTTGAAATTGCTTTAGAATACCACATTACAACTATTCCAAATATTTTTACATATCTGCAAGTAGTGAGCACCCTCCCACCCTACCTACTGGCAGCACAGTAACTAGGAAAAGATGAAGTGAGTTGGGAAAAATTAGATTTGGGCTAAGTCAAAGCAATTGTTCAGGTTGAGAGACGGAGCCCTGCCTCTGTCCTTCCCTGTCAATAGAGCTGTAAGTGTCTTTTGCTCACACAAGCCTCTGTCTCCCTGGGCTCCCTCCCTTCTTGTGAACCATGGAGATGGAACTTGGGATGGTAAAATCCACAAGGGAGGAAGAAAGGAGCCCCTAAACATCAACCCTTTTGGGGAGTTGGAAATCACAGTTTAATAGTTATCACATTTTGCTCCATCTACATCAACAGGAACTTGATGGAGCTCCCATTGAAGACAACAGGAATTTGTCTATTGATTTCAGTTGGCTTAGAATAAGGGCCTGTAAACTTTGCCAGTGATTTAGGCAGGACCAGAATGAGACCCATACTGCCACAGGGCAGAATGGTGTGACTTATGTATATATGTCTATGAACACTTGAATCATTGCCCATAGGAAATAATATGAATGACATTATAGAGCATAGTCTTGTCTGGCACAGAGAATTTAGATAACCTATGATTGAAATGACTAGGGTAAAATATGTGAAAAATGTTCATAATATACAGTAGAAATCAAGAAGGTTAGTTTGTTACTGCTTAACAGTTCCATAATTCTTGGACATCAAAGCTTTACTATTCAAGGAAAATTTAAATTTGTCCAGTGTTAATTCTAATTTAAATCAGGATTTATTTTTCTTGTTCTGGAGACGCACATCATAGCGTCTGCCAATTGAACTGTGTCTCTAGATTTTTAAAGGTTAGATGCATTCAATTGCATGAAAATTCATAAAGTACATAATCAAATGTATATTGTACTATATTCCGAGCCCTTTAAGCACCTGGCAGAACATGCTCTAATAACAATATGTAGTTTGCATATGCACAGTAGATGTTTGTGCATACTTCTTTTATGTGACTGAACACATGCACAGAAGCATGCATACCTAATGTAAGAAATGAGGCTATAGATCTTTAATTAGTTAATATTAAAAAATTATTAGTTTCACTTTGGTACCTTAGCCCTGCAGATCTTCTAACCACCAAGTAAGAATCAACAGCATAACAAAACAGCCACCAGAAGCCAGCACTGTACAACAGCTGGATCCACATCTGCAAAAGGAAAGATTCCATGTGTTACAGCCACTGACAAAGTCACTTGGGGTACGTCTACACAGCAGGGCTAAAGCCGAAGCAAACTATGCAACTTGAGCTACGTCAATTGTGTAGCTTAAGTCAAAATAGCTTATTTTGACTTTTAGTGCTGTGTACAGAGCAGGAAGACCGAGAAAGGACACTCTTCCTTGAACATCCCTTAGGCTGCGTCTAGACTGGCATGATTTTGCGCAAATACTTCTAACAGAAAAGTTTTTCCATTAAAAGTATTTGCGCAAGAGAGCGTCTATACTGGCACGTGCCTTTGCACAAAATATTTGCTTTTGCACAAGCATCCGTGCCAGTGTAGACGCTCTCTTGCGCAAGAAAGCTCTGATGGCCGTTTTAGCCATCGGGCTTTCTTGCGCATTAAATTAACGTGGCTGTCTACACTGGCCCTCTTGCGCAAGGATACTTGCACAAGAGGGCTTATCCCTGAGCGGGAGCATCGGAGTATTTGCGCAAGAACCGCTGATTTTGTACATTACGAAGTCAGTGTTCTTGCGCAAATACTCGCGGTCAGATTTTGCGCATGCCAGTTTAGACGCACCCCTCCTCCTCATAAAATGAGGGTTACAAGAGTCGGAATAAGAAGTCGTCCAGCTTGACATTATTTTGACATGTCAAAATAACTGCTTGTAGTGTTCACATAGGCTATGTTATTTCAGAATAAAGTCAGTTATTCCAAAATAACACTGCTGTTTAGACATACCCTAAGTGACCAGAACAAAATAAAAGTAAAATCTCGGTTACTTCTAGCATGTTTAATAATAATGTGTGGGATCTTTCAACAGAGATCCATGAAGGGCCAAATCTTGCTCAGAATCACAAGATAGTCCCACTGAAGCCAACTGGTCTATTTCCATGACGAGGCTGAGCAGCATTTAGCCCCTTTTGATAAGCTTACTTGACTCCTGCTATTAATCTTGCCTAACCTTAATTCAAAATTTTACATGTGCAGTCAAAAGTAAAACATCTTTGGCTACATTCATAAGAAGATTTATAATGAGAATGTTTGAAACCGTTGTATTTACATGTATTCTGTAGCTGAGGGTTTGTCTATATTTATGGCTAAATCCGCACTGCTGTGATCAATAGAGCAGTGTCGATTTAGCAGGTCTGGTGAAGATAAACTAAGTTGATGGCAGAGTGCTCTCCCATTGACAGTCATACTCCACCTCCCTGAGTTGGTGGGAGACCATCTATTATTGATAGTGCAATGTGGACACTGTTTTAAGTCAACCTAAGTTAACTTACATAACTTAAGTAACTGAAGTAACAAAACTTAGAGCATGTCTACACAGCACGACTAAAGTAGGCTAGTGCTCTTTCTCAGACTTCCTGCTGTGTAAACAGTGCCAAAAGCTGAAATAAGCTATTTCAACTTAATGTCGAAATAACTGCTTGTAGTGTAGATGCAGACTATGTTATTTTGGAACAATGTCAATTATTCCGAAATAACACTGCTGTGTAGACATACCCTTAGCTTGACTTACAGCCTTAGTGTAGACCAGATCTGAGACATGAGAGCAGGACTTGTTTCTCTTAGTCATTGTAGCTATATTGTACCTTCATATTCTGGGAACCCAATGTTAAAGGAAATTACTAACTGTCATCAACAATCTCTGTTCCCAAGAGAATCGACAAAAAAGGAAAGGGTGGTAGTGAAATGTCCACACTCCAACTTTGATGGGGTTTTATCAGTAATGACCCAAAGCAAAGATTTGTGCACAGGTTTAAGTCAAGCTACATTCCGTTGTATTTGACAGTTCAGAATTCTCATTTTTTTCTCACGAGTATACATAAATATATCTGACCTTTTCCTCTGTGTTTACAAATTTCAAAATTCTTTCCCTGAAGAGCTGAATCCTTTACAGCACACTCCCCTCTCTTCATGAGTCCAGAACATTTTCACTGTGCAGAACAATGTTCCTCTAAGCCCCTCTTTTATTTTGCCTCTATTTTCAACTGAATATCCTTTGCCATGGGTCCAAAGACCAATAGGCTTGCTATTAAGCCATATATCCGTGTTGGCCACAGCTCTGAAAACAAATACCTGGTATCCCATACTCCACAATCTGAAAATACTCCCTTTTCCCAGAGATGTTGATCTTGTCCCAGTCACTAATGCTTTCAATATACCTTCAGAGTCCAATGTGTAAATCACTGAAATGCACTTTACTTATAGCATTCAGCATATAAATTAAGCTTAGTTTTAGATTTTTTTCTTTTTAAGAGGTCCATTTGAAAAATAATATTTTTAAAATTCTGCTTAAAAGGGTTCATTCACTCAGGGTATGTCTAGACTATATGCCTCTGCTGACAGAGGCACATAAAATAGGCTACCCGACATAGTCAATGAAGTGGGGATTTAAATATCCCCAGCTTCATAAAAAGAAAAATGGCCGCTGCGCTGTGCCAGCTTAGCTGATTGTCAGCACAGCACATCAGTCAAGACACGGATCGGACGACAGGGAAGCCTTTGTCGACCACTACCTTATGCCTTTTGAAACAAGGTTTACAGGAGCTGTCGACAAAGGCTTCCCCTGTCAACCGATTCGCGTCTTGACTGCTGCACTGTGCCAACAAATCAGCTGATCTGGCACAGGGCGGTGGCCATTTTTATTTTAATGAAGCCGGGGATATTTAAATCCCTGCTTCATTGACTATGTCGGGTAGCCAATTTTACATGCCTCTGTCGGCAGAAGCATGTAGTCTAGACATACCCTCAAGGTCTGCACTGGCTTCCTCCACTTCATTAGGGAAGAGAGAACTAGTCATGCCTCAAACAGATTTGGTTTTTATCAAGATGAGGTATTAGTAAGTGTCTGCTGCTGACTACCAAATCATACCATGGAAGAGCCTGACTGGCTCCTGACGCACCTATCTATAACGTGTGGGGGGGGGGGGAAAGCTTTGTGATCCTGGAGGAATTACTTTTGAGAGACATATGCTGGAGGTCCGTGATGCTAGAACTAAAATGTCTTTGGGATTTCTAAATACTACAGATGACAAAAATGTGGAATCCAATATAGAGGAATTCTATTTTAGACTTCATTTTGACAGCTACAGAAAAACTGATCACAGAAATAATAATAAATGGTAACTTAGGTACAAGCCATGATGACTTGATCATCTTTATTATGTGTAGGCAGTATAAAGCCCTGACCAATGATATTTACAATGAGTACTGTGAAAGGGTCATTTTCACAAAGCTGAAAACAATGATGATCCAAATCAGCTATAAGAAAGAATTTAACCAGGAAAATATTAATAATTTGGAATTGTTTAAGAATGCCTTACCAAATGGCCAAAAAGCCACCATCCCACCATTGAGAAGAAGGCCATATTGCTTGAAAAATCAACCTGATTTAGAAAGGAAGTAAAGATGTAATGGCTGCCTTCACTTCCTTTCCAAATCAGAATACAAGGGATGTCGATAGTAATAAATACAAATCAGAAGTTAGGAATTGTAGAATATTGATGAGGGAATCAAAGGGATACAATAAGTAATCTAGGGGCAGCAGAGTTAAGCACAAAAAGAAGAATTTTTAAAAATATATTAGGAACAAAAAGAATCCTAATAATGGTATTGGATCATTACTAGATGTCAATGGTAGAAAAATCTTCTTATAAATATTTCTGAAAGTTTGTTTGTTTGTTTGTTTGTTTGTCCTCAAAGATCTCTGAAACGGTAAAAGCTAGAAACACAATATTTTGCACAGATACTCCTGATTTCCTAACTTAAATCACTGGATTGGTTATATCTCGAAATCAGTTCCCCCAGAGCCCCAGTTGGGCCCACTGATAATTAGTTTTTAGTAGTGCCTGATCATAGGTATTTGCTGGACTCTCCTGTTAAGCGTGTCACATAAACTGCAACTACGAGATTCTAGAGGATAAAGCAAGTGGGCACCTGCAGCACCGTAAAGGGAAAGCCCATGGGGGAGAGGCTGCAGTGGGGCAGAGAATCAGCAACCTCCCCTATACTAGGGCACCAGCAGGTCTCCAGGACAGACCTGATGCTGGTTGGGGTCTAGCTTTGCTAATTGTGGCTGGGAGAAGCCTCCAGCTATCACAGCCTCTCAACATCTTCACACAGCCAGGCTCTGACTGAACCCCTTCTGGAAATTCAAGTTGCTTCCCCCACACCCAAACGAGCCGTCCCACCATTCACCCTCCTTTGGGCTGCGTGCGTTCTCCTGGCAGGGCTGTGTGCGTTATCAGCAAGTGCCACGGACATTATGCACTTTGCAGGATTCAGCTCACAGTACAAAGAGGAGGTGGGTAGGAGGACAAGGTTTTGAGCACCGTGGAGCCTGAGGAGGACACTGTACACTCAGAACAGCCTATTCTCATTAGAACAGGTACGTTCAGGTGTTGCATGTTCTGATCATCTAGATATCACTCATTGCACCTGGTCTGAAGGTGTTTCGCTTTGTCTGATCAATGCAACCGGTCCAGATACCGCTAGAAAGTCCATTCATGTTACCCCCGTGGAGCATGCTCTTAAAGCACTCAGGGAGTGGCTACTTGGGGAGCAGTGATTTGCTGCTGCTACAGAGCCCAGGAGACATCCCCTCCATTTCTCAGGGCTTCTGGCAAGGAGGCTGCAGGCATTGGTATGCATAGAGTCTTTAAGGGAAGATGGGCCTTCCTGATTTGTGGGGATTGAGAAAAGAGACCCTATGGGATTTGTCATTTTATAAGCACATCACTAGCTATTTTAATTTCTTAAAGTAATATATGAGAGAAAAGTATTTCCAATAAAATATGCTATGTTAATGTAATTGACATAGTTCATTCATCACACCTTTTACTATATTTTCCCCGGGCGACACTGGGTATTTCTCTAGTCAATAATAATACAGAAATGGCAGAAGTGTTTAATACATATTTTTCCTGTATTTAGGGTACAAAGCAGATGGAGTTGTCATCATATAATACCTTTTCCACTC